AAACATCGGAATCCTGGGAGCTGTTCAAGAAGGCCATTGCTATGGGTATGCGGCTTGTTCGCAAGCATCAAGCTGTGTTTGACCTGCTGTCCTTTATGAGACGATGAATGTAGTGGGAAGGGTTGAACAGATCTGCCGTACGCTTTGCGCCCATCTTGAGAAATCGGACATAGATGGCACGGTGGATGTGGCTGATGAAGCGCCGGAGGACCTCGTTGACAAAGACAGGACACGTTTGGATATGCTTGTAGGCTACATCTTCAAGAATGTGGACTGCGGTTTTCACAATACCCAGATGCGTGAGGAATGGGCTGGGATCAAGCGTGAGCACAAGGGGTATATGAAGCGCTTGCAGCCCGTCAACGATGCTGCAGTCATACTTGGAGAGAAGATTGGTGGCGGTGCCAACGGCACAGTGTACAAGGTTCGTTGGAGGAAGTCCCCTGTGGCTGTCGGAATTGGCTCACAGGATCCTGTGATCCTGTATCCGGATGACACCAAGCTGCTCACAGAACGCACTGCTGTATTTTGTAAAGAGGTATCTCTGCATGCCTCGCTGAGGAATCGCTGTGTTGTGGAATGACATGCAATAAGCAAGAGTGGCTGGTTGGTCACGGAGTTGGCAAATGCAAATCTGATGGACCTGCGGCGGAAGGTGCCCCCTGAGTTGCCTTGGCGTTTGCAGTTGAAATACGCACAGCAGGCAGCAACAGGACTTGAGCACATGCACAACAAGGATACCTTAATCCTGCGTTCCGACGTGAAGAGTCCCAATTCCCTTGTGTTTTGGGATCATCCATACAGTTGCATTGTGAACATTGCATGACTTCGGACAGCTCGAAGCATTCACAAGATCAAAGACAAAGACGATTGGGAACTCTGGATGCACACTAGAATGGCAGCCACCAAAGATCTATTACGAACAGCCCCACTCGCTCGCCTCCGATGTTTTCAGCTCCGGGGCTGTGCTGTACGAAATTGCGAGTACTCTTGTGGGGTGGAGCACATGTCCAGTGACAGGGCCCAGGCAGTGACGATGCAAAAGAAACTTTCTGGGAAGGAAGCTTGTGCTGTGAAGCCTGTGCTGTGCTGTGGAGCTGGACGACTGTCCACAGGAATGCACAGGCTGATGAAGCGGTGCTGCGCCACAAAACCCGCCGAAAGGCCCACGGTGGAAGTCGTTCGCAGTGAACTGGAGACGCTGCCTGAGACCCCCCCCCCCTCCCTCCTTGAGCGGCTGTGGCCGATCGAGTCAACTTTAGTCAACCTGCATTCCAGAGATGAAGGTGGCATGCCATTGCCAACTATGGGGACGAAATTCTTGCTGCGAACTGCGCGCTGAGTTTGGGCTTTAGCGATGTGGTGCTCCAGCTTTGCAGACTTGTACTATAAAGCTAGTTGCCCTGGCTGGGAGATATTTGTGTGCTGCTGCCACACCCTCTGCGGAGTGATTTCCAAGCTATTTGCTGGTGTAAGATTTATGATGGTATCTGCCTTGCCTGAGCCATCCAAACATTGAAAATTATGCATGTCCATGGTCCAATGGAAACGAAATTCACAAGTACATAAAATAGTTCAAAGTCGACAGAATCGAGACAGTTGGGGGGGAGCCACCCCACTGGCATCAGAACTCTGTTCAGCTGGTCCCCCGCCCGCCAAGCAAGCCCAGGCAGCCCACTTGAGCGTTTACCTGTCCAGCACGCCCTTCGGCGACCAGCGCAGCACCCCCCTGGATACACCTTTGGGTGGCTCTCCATGCTGGAAAAAGAATCAAGAAAACTTCGGAAAATCGGAACAAATCGTAAAAAACCGGAAAAATCGGAAAAAAGGGAAAAGTTCGGAAGTAATCTCCAAAAAGGACGCACCTGGGCGATGTAGTGTGGGCACAACGAAGGCGATGGGCGAAAGGCAGCGGGGTTGTCGTCTGGCAGGCGGCAATCGGGATACCAGCGCGCCAAGGTCGCGATGCGGTGCATCATGGGGTATGTGCACCATCGGTGCTTGCCCGTACAAAAGCGGCCCCTGGAGAAAACGCTCGCTGGCGGTCCAGCGCCTTCCCAGCCCCTGCGACGCCACCAAAACCCCGAAGGCCCAAGACGTGTGCTGAAGCGCCTTCAAAAGGACAGCGAGGAGATGGGGGTTGCACGGCCGACGAGTGCAGAGAAGGCAAAAACACCAGCAGAAAACAGTCTGTTTGCGATGCCTGCTGCGATGCCATTTGACACAGGTTGATACCATCGCAGCCGCTTTTATGCCATCGAAATCACTGTGACCGCATCGCTTTGTGTCAACATGGCATCGCAGTTGGCATCGCAAACATGCCGTTTTCTGCCAGTGAAAGGCAGGGTAGGAAGAAAAATTGCGACTCACACACTCCCCGAAATTTCCCCCACAGCCATCATTGCTTCACGACCGTGCTTCATTGTACTGCAACGCTCATGGCGCATACTGTGAGTGCGGAACGCCGCTCTCAAATAGGACCAGATCGCGCATTTTAACCCCATATTTTCAACGTCAACGATGCATTATTCGCCGGACATAACCTTCCTTTTATTACCATGATTGTTATGAACAGTGCACTGCTGGCATTTCAGAAGAGCAAAATTCATGAACGAATGATTACTGGATGGACGGTGCGCTACTAGGCAACACCTGTTCATTGTTGGATCTATTTCCAGCAGCTTCCAAGCTGGCAATAATTCTCCTGCATGGATTTTGCACCGGTTGCTACAATTTTCAGAAGAGCTCAGTGCTTTGGGCTTCTAGACAGGACACGACTGTCAGCAGCATGCTGGGGCGCTGACTCTTCAGCTGCTTGGTCAGCAGTCACAACATGGAGGACCTTCAACAAATTGACAAACATGGCGGAGCACATATGATAACTAATTCACTGCACGATGCCAGAATGAATACAAACAACACTAGGAAAAAAGGGCCAAATAACACGTGTTCCAACGTGTGCAAAGTTTACGGGTTTGTGTTATTTTTGTGGTCTTAGCGTGCAGAACTCTGATGAAGTGTGTTTTACGTGTGTTCGCAACAGTGTTATTTGGCCCTTTTTTCCCTAATGTAATCGCAATGGCCCAAAAGGTCACGCCAAATAAACCCCTCACCCCAGATGCATCTCTCAGGACTGTAATGGCGCTCCTCCCAGGAGTGTAATGGGACACCTGCCAGGAGCGTAACGGCGCTCCTCCCAGGAGTGTAATGGGACACCTGCCAGGAGCGTAACGGCGCCCTGCGTCTGGGGCGCTGCGAGTTGAGCTCAAATACTGGAGTTTTCAACCCTTAACTACTGGAGCCGTCGAACTCAAAATCGGAAAACCGAAGCCCCCCTGCCTCCCTGGCGCGGCCCACACGGTACACATCGCTGCGGATCACCAAAACGGGGCGCCGCCACTAAAGCACAAAGAACAGCGAAGAAGTACAACCGACATTACTGTGGGTACCCACAGCACTAGTGCTATCGAGCAGATCACGACCCCCAACCCGTCCCCTGGTCCCCAGCGAGGCTAGCCATCAGCACTTTGACAGCACTCTCCCTCTCCAAGACAGTACTGCCCAAAGTACTCACACCTGTCAACGCGCCCCCTCCCCCGCCAAACCGCCCCCAGGGTCCCGCGGCCCCAGCCCCAAACCGCCCCAGCCCGCCCTAAAGTACACAATCCGGCAGTATTGCCCAATGTACTCAGCTGCCTCATCCACACACCACAAACCCCCCAATCAGCCACGCAAGCAGTACTGCACTATATAGTCACCCCACGGATCGCAAAACGGCCCCGCGAACAGTACTGCCCAGCGCACTCAGCGGCCCCATCCCCAGAGGCCCCAAGCCCCCAACCGCAAATTTACGGATCCCAAAGCGGCGCCGCGAGCAGTACTGCGCAATGTGCTCAATCCGAGGATCCCTTGGCCGCCCCCACACCCGCCAACCCTCCCGTCGGCAGGTTGATACGCCGCCTGTCCACGTCGAAGGTCCAGAGGTCCTCAGCGACGAAGGCGGGCCCCGAGTAGTGCAGGGCGACGTCGTCCAGGATGGTGTTCCTGTCCGCGAAGGGCGGTATGATGTGGTTGAGGGCCAGCGCCTTGGCGCGAGCTGAGGCCGCCACTTTGCCCACCTGGCAAGGAGGGGCGCATTGTCAAAGGAAGAAAAATACACAGACACACGCGCGGGCGCATGCTGGGAAAAAAGCCCTCCTCAAAACCCACCCCCGGGGTCTGAAGTGGGCGGGTCGCGAGAGACTTTGCCCAACTGGCAAGGAGGTGTGCTTCGTCAAAGAAAGAACCACACGCACACATATGCCAGCCAAAACGCGCTTCTACCCAGCACCCCGACCTGGAGTGGGCTGTTCGCGACAGACTTTGGACTTTGCACCTGACGCTGCTGGCTTGGCCACCCGCCACAGGGACGTGCATTGCCAAAAGAAAGAAACGCACACATGTGTGCCAAGGGCGCAGACGCATGCTAGGCAAAACACTTTCCCCACCCACCCCCGGGGGTCTGGAATGGGTGGTCGCCAAGAGACTTTGGCCCCATGGCAAGTGGCCAAAGCGGCCACGTCGGGGCCGTGCCTCAAAATCAATGCGCATTGTCAACACAAGAAACACACATGCTTATCCCAGGCAAGACGTCCTTCCCTTTTGCCCCCCTCCGCGGCTTCTGGTGCGAGTGCCTCGCGGGATTTTGGGGCATGGCATCGAAGACGGGCGTCTGGGAACGGGTGCGAAGGTGCTTCGTCAGCAGGAGCGGCAGCGCCGGCAGGGGCGTCCCAAGCAAGCGCCTTGCCGAAATCTCTACCGCAGCAATGACGACAAGCGGTGGTCGAGCGCAACGCTGTTGCTAACAGGCGTGACCGTCCTGCAAGACGCCCTTTTCGTCCAAATGGCCGCAGAGACTGGATACCCAGAAGGCTGGGTGCCCTAGTACTGGATGCCCAGTACTTTGGCCCCTCGGCGTGGCGGGGCGCCGGGCAGCGGCGCTCTCGATCGGCGCCACCCACCTCCGTCGACGGCGTATGGAATCTGAGGATGTTCGAGCCGTTCGTGAACCTCGGGTTGTTGGCGACGAGGTCCCTGACGATCACGGAGTGCACGAGCAGGTCAACGTCCTTGGCCGCCTCTATCAGACTGTCCACGGGGATCGTGTCCCCGCTGAATGCCACGGAGCGGCCCTCTCCCCTGAGCACGTAGCCGTAGGCGCGCTCGATGATCACGTGCCGCACCTCCACCGCCTCCACCTCCAAGCCGTTGAAGGAGGCCACCTGGTGGGTGGGTGGGGGGGAACAACATACCCGCTCACCCCACCAAAACAGGTCGAATGTACTGAGGCCAGGGCCGGCAGGCGCAGTACTCGGGGCCCAGCACGTTGGCCCGCCTTCCCCCTGTGACGACCCCCGCGCGAAGGGCGTCCCGGACGCCTGGCGCGGCGCAGGGGGGGAACTCCGGGGCGCACCTTGCCGGGCTCTATCTCCGTGACCTCGAAATCGAAGCCCGCAGAGCCGGCCTTCAAATTGTCCCTGAACCTCTCCAGGTCGTGGTCCCACAGCTCCAGGACTTGCTCCACGTGGCGCCGCGTGCCGGCCGGCCCGAACACCCTCTGGGGGACGGCCCTCCCGCCGAAGGCGCCGTCCAGCAACAAGTCGATAAGGTCGATGATGTGGTCATGGTGCAGGTGGGTCAAGAAAACGGCGTCAATCATTTGGCCGTTGACACCGATTGCCGCCATTCGCTGCGTGGCACCGGCGCCGCAATCGACGAGGACCGTGGCGTTGGCCGTCCGCACGAGGTTGGCTGAGCCGAAGCGGATGGGCGAGGTCAGGGGCACGCCGGTTCCCAAAAAGGTGACGTTGAGGGCGGATGCATGCTGCAATGCATGTTGACCGATGGTCAACAAGAGGAGCGCAAGGGCGAGCACGGGCAGGTTTGGCGGGTAGGCCATGTCGGTTGGGTGGGTGGGGTGGGGGCTGGGGGGTGGGCGGGCGGGGGGCTGGGGGGGCGGGGACAGGCGGTGGGCTTTGGGATAAGGTTGGGGAAGAATATGTTAGACCCTCAGACTTTCCCGTGAAGATCCCGTCTTCTTCCGCTGACGAGGCCGACGTGGCTCAGTGGGCAAAACGTTTTGGTTCTCCTGTCTTTTCCGTTTGAATCCCTTCTTCTTCCGCTGACAAGGCCAACGCCGGTCGGTGGGTCAGCGGTTCAGGGTTTGCGTTGTCGGAAGCAAGATGGGATCCACAAAGACAGAGCGACTAATTTCATGCCAGGTGGGGGGGCGTACTTGATGGGGCCGCTTCTCTGAGCGGACCGCGAATTCGATCAATGGCATAATACACCCTGTACAGATCAGTGCTGACGATCAAGAAGTATCGCAATGGAAACAATACAAAGCTAATTTCGGCGACTGACCGGTGTCAATGGCATAAATTACAAGAGAGAGAGAGAGATCAGGAGCCGCCAACTCGCTCTGAAGTCCCACAGAGAAGTTTGCAACGGAAGGGCCGAAAGAGGACGCGAATTTGCCTCATCCACTGCAGCGCAATTTAATATTCAAAATTGATCAATGATGAAACTACCATAATCCACTGCCTGCATTCAGTACACCTGCAGCGCAAAAGCGTACAGCTGTGCACTGCGCATTTGTGGTGGGAGACCAGAGCAGGGTATCGTTGAAGGCGGAGACCGTTCTGAGCACAAGTGCGGTACATTCTGTTGCTCGCAGCTCCGAGCTTTGAAAAGGAGTTTGCTTTCGGGCCGATGATTCCCAGGATATAGCATCATCGCGATACTCGAGAATTATTCATCCCGAATTGCTCAAGGGCTCGCCAAATTTGCGAATTCTATGGCCAGTGGTACCCCCCTCGATTGCATTATTGTGGATTGATCAATGACTGGCTTCAGAAAACTGCCAAAAGAGCTGCTGACTGCACCCACATGCATTCTTTGTATCGCGGATACTTCCATGATTCCGCGTCCCACCCAAAGAAGCCTCAGTCAAATAACTTTTCAACCAAGAAAAATCTGCAAGTCATCCGGCACATCTTCGCTATCTATCCAAACAACAAACTTTCTGGAAACCAACTGACAATGGTCGCTTTTATCTGTGTTAAATTTGCCGTTAGTCATTGGGCCACGTCGCCCAATGACAGGCTCATGGCCAATAAAAGGCCACTGACTGGGTGTCACTACACCGTAGACCAGTCAGCTTGACATGGACAGCCGCCCAGCAATGCAGAAAAGCGAAAAGCACGCTGAAGTATCCGCGCAATACTGGTTAGTAGTAAGCAAGCACGGCCAGCCCGTTTTCGGGCATCAAAGCCAAAGGGCGAAAACAAAGATAGTAAAAAATTGCTCAAAGGCCACACAGAAATGCTGCGCATACTTTAAGAAGGCACTTTTCAGGCTCAAGGATAATGCAAAAGTGGTCTTGAAGCAGCATTATAAATATATGGGACAGGCCTGGTGATGAAAAGGCAAAAAAAACCCAGGTGAAAGGCTGCAGAGATTCTCCCAGAGTGCAGCGGTATGGATAGAAGATAGACCAGAACACTATAAGTGATACTGGAATATGAAAAGTAAGAAAAGGTGGTAAATGCTGCAAAATTTCGAGAAAATGCAGCACTTATGGTGACAGGATTATGCAGCAGTCTGGGAGACAATCTGGACTAGAATCTCTGAAAGTGAAGGCTGAAATAGCTGCCATAACGTTGACTAATACGAAAATTTGATTCTGTTGAGAATTAGGAGGAGATTGACTGAGTTTGGGCTCAGCATGGCAGCCATTTTTCACTGGTTCAAGCTGCAATGCATCATGCGCTGTGATTAACAGCATTTCGGATGGATAGAATGGCGTTAGGAACATGCCCTAGTACAGGAGATAGGTGCACAATAGTTTAGGATGTTAATTCCATCATATGAGGATGTTTTTGTCCTCGTAAGATGGTCCCAGGGCCGTTGAGGGTAGTCCAGTGGTATTGCCTTGAGATTGGAGAGACAGGACGCCGTTGAAGCTTGATGAGTTTGGTACAATACTTAAGAAAATCTGTTGTCCGTCAAGGGGCTGGTCGACGGGTTGATTAGTGTTGGAGGCTTTTTGAAAAACATTAGAGAATTGGACCATTTTCTTGAGCCACAGTTGACTGACAGTTGTACTTCCCGATTGGACGCAGAGCTGGGGTCTGTATGACGGTCTTTGGGCTCCAATTTGCAGCAATTTTGAACGGGAACAGTTTAGAGAGATTTGGAGTACATTTGGGGTCGTTGAAAGGTCAGTGGGTCGCACTGGTGGAATGTGAAACGTCCAGGGAAAAAAACAAAAACTACTGGCAGGCATGTTGACACATGCCGTACACGGCGCACGTGCGTTGTAATGCGACGTACCTATCATTGGCCTGACAGGTCGGCATGTCGTACAGCATCCCGAACTGGCCCTTTGGGGCCTGACCACGTGGTGCAAGTATGCGCGACGTGCAGCGAGTTGCCTGACCCATTGTGAGAGCGCGTGGACGGCCAGAACTCCATCCCTCGGGCTGCCCCCCTTGTCGCGTTCGACTCGAACGGAAGGCATGGACCGGGGCCACGACTTTTGTGCCGTTGGGTCCGGTTTCAAACGGCAAGGGAGCTCCAGCGACCTTGCCGGCAATGTGGTCGCCGTGGTGCAATGGCCGTTCGGGTGTGGAGCAAAGGGAGTTGCAGTACGCGATCAAGGGGGCGTTCGGCGTGCCGCTCGAGTGGGTGGATGCCTCGGGCGTTGGCCTGCATGACCACTGGGTACGACTTGTTTTTGAGTCTTCATGGAGCTGGAGAATGGCGAGGACGCCAGTAACGCTGCGCCTCTCGATCTAGACGTTTGAGGTAGTGGCGGTTCCGACTCCTCGCTGGGATTTCGAGCTCTGGCGGAGCATGCACCAAGCTTTATAAGCCAGCGCAGGCCTGTGGGATGCACACCGGGAGGTGGCATGGATGGATGCGGAGGCGGACTCGCTCGATGCTCTGCCCGCCCGTTTGCTTGGCGCCTCGACGGCGCCCCTTGCCATTGACCGAGGGCCATGGTGGGGCGCCTATGTCTTTGTTCCTTCGGTCAGCGGACCTTGGTTGCACTAGGGAAAAGGGCCAAATAACACGTGTACAAATTTTATTGGTTTGGGTTATTTTTGTGTTCTTAGCGTGCAGAGTTTTGATAAACTGTGTTTTATGTGTGTTCCAAAAAGTATTATTTGATCTTTTTTGGCTAGTGTTGGGAGCTGCTAACCGCGTCAGTTTCGAAGGCTTGGCTTCGGTTCTGGGGTATCTTTCCGCTTGCTGGGTACCACGAAGGGAGCTGGTATGAGCGTAGTCTGATGATGGGTGAGGAACGTAACGCGGATAAACCGGCGTGGAGGGCGGAGAGGTGCCAGATGTCGGACAAGGCAAAGTGGCGGTACCGGGAAAAATTGACCTCCTGGTGGGTGTGGGAGTGGACCCCAAGGAGGCCCACAAAGAGATTGCTTTAGGGTGTGGAGCACTGTGGGAGAGGCACCCCAAGGACGATAACTACTACGAAAATCTGGAGTGCCCTTGGTGCACAATTGATGGAAAATGTTGTTTGTGTCAATTTGCATCTTCAAAAGGGCGAACTGTGTATGACATAATCAACACCTTGGAGGAGTGGCTGGCCAAGGAGCACCCTGGAAAGTGGGAGGAAACAGCATGGAATAGGAGGGAATTCATGAGGCATGGGCTACTGGACATGGCTAGGGACTCCGACTGCTGGGAGCCCATAACGTGGAACCAATGGGAGCCAAGGGAAGTTGTTGAGCAGCTGAAGCAATGTGAGTCGCCGGTACAAGAGGAATTCCGGCAGCAAGGTCAAGAAGCTGCCATGCGGGAGGGAGACTGGCAGCCTGAGGCTTCTGAGCATGCGGGCGACTGGATGGAACCCATGGAGAAGGTGGAGGTCCTTGGGCGAGAGGATTGTTGGCCAGAAGCTGCCGAGGAGCCAGGGAAGGCGAGCTGGAAGCTGCAGCAGCATCAGATGATCGGGAAGTCATGGAGATCGATTTTTAGCATGCAGGAGCTTGGAAAGTTGGGTAACCAACTCAGCTGTGAAAATCTAGAATATGCAGTTGTGATAGTTTAATAATCAAAATGGGATTATAAGGTCTGAGTGTGTCGCAGTTAGTGATAAGAGTTACCAGGAGCTGGTTGGAAGACAGTGGGAATGTTCAATGACTGGAGTACGGTGACGAAGGTGGTGCTGGGATCTAAAAGAAGAGTTGCAAAAACCTTGAAGTTTACTGCTGTTGAAAGTTGGTGACCAGAACTGGACTTTGTTGCTACAAAATATGCTGATTCTTGATTTGAGTAATCAGCAGAAGCTGTTGGAACAGTGATTATGTTCTGGGGTAAAAAGTAAGTCAAGTGCAGCCAGTATCTAAGGGTCATGGGGCCGTGAAGTGACTTTGCAGATTTCTGGAGTTTGCAGCTGTAATGACTTCATTTTAAAATATGAATTTAATCGAAATACATGAAGATTCAGTGACATTAAAGTGGGCTGGTACCCGCTGGGTAAAAGAGTATAATTCTGAGTTAGTAACTGAAACAAAGGGGGTATTTGAGCAGCTTTGTGATGAGTATTGGACAGGTATGGTCAATGCCGTCAAGAGTAATGACGGGACATAATGCAGTTTGCGGTGCTAATGGAGTTTAATCTAAGGAACGGCTCAATAATGAATTGGGCAGTACTTCTGATAGTTTCTGACCTTTTCTGGTCGTACTGACTGAGAAATGTGAAGAGGCATATAAGGCAGATTCAATAACATTGGAATTCAGTTGAGTTGGATCAGTTCATTGTAGAGCTCGAGGTGAGGTACGGACTCAGTGGATTATGGGGAATGTTGGAGCGTCGTGTGGAATATTCTTTGGATGATAAGATGATATTCTTCTGATAAGATTTGATGGAATTTGAGTCAACTTACGTCGGACTGGATGTGAGTGGCTTTTGAACCGGTTGAAAACCAAGGTCAAGTGAATTAGAAAACTGTCAGGCAGCTGTACTGCCTTCCCGTTGTACTTAGGGATTTGAATTGATCTGAGCTGAGCCAAGAATATTCCCTGATACCTTGGCAGTATGAGAAAGTATCCTGGGATACGTTTAGAGAGCGGAGGTTGGTTGTTTATCCTCGGCGGAACAGGGGGCGGTGCCGTAAGGGAAAGATTGATGGACGGCTGGTCGTGTAAAGGCTTCGGGCCACATTTGCACAATGAGGAACGCCTCGCGAGGCGACCGCGTGCTGATCCAAGGACTGCCCAGGCTGTGGCCAGCTGTGGGGACGGTGTGTTCTGTGTTCCAAATGCGTCGAGACCGTGCTAACCTTTCGTGACGTGAGAAACGTTGCAGCCCTGCCATCTGGCAGCCGTGGCCGGCCGCGCCGTGTTTGAGCTGCATGTTCAACGTCACCGACTGACCCACGAGGGTCACAACTGGCCCCAGGAACGTCTCTCGAGCTTTCAGGACGTTTCCGAGTTCGTTGGCTGCGGTTTGGAGTTGTTGTCGTGCCCGGAAACGAGGCGGAGTACTGGCAGTTGTCCCGTGAAGTCTTCGCTACCTGCGATTTGACTGCCAAGTGGTTTGGAAGAATCCTCCTGGTCAACGACCGCTGCGCAACAGTGGAAAAGCTGCGTGCAGCCTATTGAGGTGCTGGTGACAAGCTGGACTAAGTTTCAGGATCTTCGGAGGGGGGCGAAGGGAGACGTGACGGTGCCCAGCGCTGGACGTCAACTGCGATGCGAGACATCGGACGGCTGGCAACGAGGGGACGTTCTGACCGGCGTCAAGAGACGACCGGTGACGAAACACCTCCTGTGAGGCAAGTCACCATGACGCCGCCTGGAGCGCCTGTGAAAGGGAGGCCCGGGAATTTCCTGGAGGGCGAATTGTTCAGCCGTTGGGGCAAGAAAATGTCAGGAAGATCAGAGACAGCTGGTGGGAATTTGTCGAGGCTGCGGCTGGCGAGGAAAGTGAATTCTTCACAAGTGAAGAAAGCGAGGAGGACATCAAGAGGGAGCTTCTAGGAGTGCTGACAGGAAGGTGTCTTGAAGGCAGAGCTAAGAAGGATATTGAAGCTGAGGTGACTACTCCTGTGCAAAGAACTGCGGTGAACGAGCGAAGGCTGTGCGGCAGTTGCCAAGGCATCCTAGGAGGATTGCCTACAGCTGCATCATCTTGTAGATTGTGGAATAACCTGATGATCTGTTGGTGCTGAGGAAAGAAGTTTTGAGGGAACAAGGAGAGTCGTCACCTGCAGAACTATAGCTGGAGAGAGCAATTCTGTGGGTTCTCTGAAATTCCAGGCAGATTATTGGTCTCTTTGCTGCCATCAATTTGGCCCTGCTGTGCTCTGATTTTCCAGCGCCTGTCCTGCTGAAAATCTATCCGTTTGAGAAGGAGTTCCTGGCCAGTGCGAGCGCTGTCAGCGCTGAGTTGAAAAGGTGTATGCCCCATGGTACTGGACCCCTTGAGAACATAGGATTGAACTGCGATCCCTTAGGAACCGCGTCAGCGCTCTGTGACAATCTGAATCGGAAAGGCGTCGTCAGGGCCGTCAGGAGGGTGTTGTGATTGGGCAGCCTGTGGTGCAACCCTCTGAGGTGCTCGCTCGCTGGAAGCACATTGTGTGCATTTTCTTGTTGGGAGTCTCAATTGGGTGTGTTATTTTCTGTGGAGCCTTTACTGTTGGGCTCTGGACTGGACGCTTCTTGTAAAATACAAGTGACAAGGCGTGAATCACCAGCCCATTGGGCAGTCACACATGGAGGCCTTTCGACATCTGTTTAACAAGGAGATTCCTGGCCCCGGTCTACTGGACTTTGTGGACAAATATTTGTCAGGTTACTGATGGTCTGCCACATTGCCCGAAGCGTCATCGATTCAAGAGGGCTGAAAGAAAGAACATCAAAAAAATCCCTCCAAAACGAGTATCACAGCCATTCCGTGAATGCCTGGCTTAAAACTGCAGCCACCGCAGTCAATATAAAGTGTCCTCTTTTCACGCCTGTTTTTTTCCGTGTTCCAGAACACAATTGTCGAAAATAAACGAATCGATGAGAGAGAATGAGTAAAGTTTGCGCCGCTCACGCCTCCCTGACTGGCACCCATCAGCAGCCGTCGCAGAGCATCCATCGCCACCCGCTCTCTCACTTCCATTCCCCCTTCCCCCCTCCCAACCCCCACCCCAAGAAAATATTTTCAACTATTATTTTGCCGTAAGCTACCATCACTGTCACCCCCGTGAATCACCCAATCGCTTGGCATCCACCAGTCACAACCACCCCAATCCCATAACTCATCACGATACACATCACGATAAATGCATCTGTGCGATCAATTTAACATTCCGTTGGAGCTAGTCACCCCCAAAGAGCCCACGACTCACGTCCACCACCAGCCCCACGATTTAGTGATGTACCAATGACAGAGTTACTGATCCGCGTGACTACCAGCGCATGAGCCATTGGTGCACAACCCACGCAGAATCAGTCATTCACCCCGCGTCCATCAGTCACGGCCACAGCCACGCCCGTGGCTTACCGATGCAACAGCCCCGGGCTTAGTGACGAATCAGTGAGACGGACAGTAATGAATCTGCGACAGCCTCAGCCACAGGCACCGCTGTCAGCATCCTCGGCGTGAGGGGCACGCAATCAGTGGCGCACGTAGTAACGAATCCGAAACGGAGGCAGCCGCACGCCCCACCGTCAGCATCCTCGGTATGATGGGCCCACAATCCGTGACGCACACAGTGATGAATCCCTGACGGACTTGGCCACACTGGTCGCTACCAAAACATCGGTGTGATGGGCACACAATCCGCCTGAAAATCTATCCCACACCTCGGCGCTTGGGCGCCTACCCGCGCCCCAGCGCAAGCACACCCCCTCCCGCCACCGTTAACCAGCCCCGGCTCACGTCGACCGTCCAGAGGTCCTCGGCGACGACCACAGGGCCCCCGTAATCCGCCGCCACATCAAGCAGCAACGATCCCCGATCCGCATTTGGCGGCGCGATGTGATTGAGAGCCAGGCACCCCACTCCCGCCTCGTGGGCGATCTTTCCAACCTCGTCGGAACGCGTGTGCCAGGCAGCAATCCTCTCAGCGGCCTCGCTTGGCCAGCGAGGCAAGGCTGCCGGGATCACCACCTCGTGCACCAAAAGGTCGGCGCCCTTGGCGGCAGTAGTTATTGCAGCCGTGGGCCTCGTGTCTCCGCTGAAAACCACGCGCTGCCCTTCACCTTGGACAAGGAACCCGTAGGCTGGCACCAGAGGCCGGTGGTCCACCTCAATGGCCGTCACCTCCAGGCCGTAGAATGCACCGATCGACCCATTGCCAAATTCTGTAACGTTGAGGTCCAATGCCAACGCATCGCGTGCATCACCCGCGTAGTCAATCCGATGGTCAAACTCTGGCTGCCATGCATGCATCTGCCCCTCCAAGAACGCTCGAGTCCCAACGGGACCATAAATGGGCAGTGGCCGATCGCGCCTGGCGCCCCATCCCGTGACGAGCAGCTGGAAGATGTCCACGACGTGGTCGGCGTGCAGATGGGTCAGAAAAAGGGCGTTCACCTGGGCGCCGGTCAAACCCAGTGCCGCCAGCCGCTGCGTGACTCCCGACCCGCAATCGATGAGGATCGTGGCATTGGCGCCGCGAACAAGGCTGGAGGGGCCGAAGCGGGTGGGGGAGGGGATTGGCACGCCGGTACCCAGGAACGTGACGTTGAGGGCGGATGCGGGTTGGCTTGCATGTTGGCCGGCGGTCAACACCAGGAGTGCGAGCACGGACGCGGTCAACGGCTGTGGGCTGAGCGCCATTTCCCTTGCAGGGGGTATGGTGGGTTGTTAAAGTACAGGGAGAGGGGTGGGTGGTTGTAAGTACAGTGGATGGAGGGCGTGTGCACAGCCATGCGGGGGTGGTCTGTGGTTGGGGTATCGGCTGGGGGTGTTGATGGTTGATGGAGTGCGACGGGCGGGGGTGGTGGTGGTGGGGGGGTGGGGGGGTGGGGGGTGGGGGGGTACTGGGTGCACGTTGGAGGAAGGGTGGGCTTGGGAGCTGTGCAATGATCGCTTGCTGTTATGCTGCTACTGCCGCCATTGCCGTTGTACCTTTGCTATTGCTACCACCATTGCTGCGACTGTTGCTGCTATCAGTAGTAGCTTATCTTATGTCATTGTGCTACCTATTATATTACTACATTTATTCATTACTATATTTGTTCGATTTAAGATGATGTTACAGCGACAATGCCACAGCAATTGCCATAACAATGCTGGTGTTTGCCATTGGCATTAACGATAAACGGTAGCATCGCTGTGGCCATTAATGCATACCAATAGTGCTATACTGATCAGTCCAGCAATGGTCATAGCAACACTATTGTTTATTTTTTTCAGTGCGCAGCCAGGGTATAGCGTCACAAATTAACTGCTGGATGGAGATGGTATGCCTCTGGCTTTGTTACTCCACCAGATGGTTGGCCGCTGAAATCGACCCACTAAGTACTGAGGGTCATAAGAGCTCACTTACACATTTTGTTCCTTACCATGCCACGATGCAACAACAGTCCACTCGACCTGTCCCCCCCCCCCCCCCCCCCCCCCACCCCTCCCCTCCCCTCTCCACCCCTCCCCTCCCCTCTCCACCCCTCAGGCTGCCAATCAGAATCCTGAAATACTGTATTTGACGTAGACAGGGTTAATCCAAACGGGAGCAGTTGCCTTGTGGCCATTCCCGCAAATGCAAAAGGGGTACATGCAACCACCCTGTGTAAATTTTTCATCCGCAGCTTTTGGGACAGGTTTTCTCCTTCAAGAAGAGGACGGATATCTGTCCAAGGCGACTCACCAACCTTCCTATTCTTTTGATCAGGAACGAAATTTGTTCCTGGCATTTAATGCCAACAGTGCGTGTTCATGCATATCGCCACACCGCAGAACATCCACTACTTCTTACCGTATCGCGATCGGGTTTGGGCTCATTGGAAACTCCGACACTCCCACATCTCCCTCGGCTTACCCTGGAATTTCGTAAGCCAGAGTAAGCCTTTTACTACATTCTTTACTATCTGCAGCGACTGCACAGCCTGGAGAGCCAACACTGACCGGCTTTGATCAAAAAGAAATGCTTGCCAAGCTATGACAGGATCCAGCTGTCGCGCAAGTGCAGGATTTCCTTCAGTTCGCGCTTCAGAAAGTTCACAGTAGGACACCCGACGCTAGCCAATCCGGCAGAGTGCTTCGCGCTCAGGCCCCGCCCCACAGTGCAGTGCGCAACTGCAAACTTCGCCGCCCGCGCGGCACTCTCCTCGCCGCTGAACACATCCTATAGATACTCGTCCACCGTCTTTTGGTCCATCTCCTTCGTGACCGTCCACATTCAACCATCCCTGGAGGGCCGCACTGCCCAACGCCTCCACCCTGATTGCCCGCCTTCCGCGGCGGGAAAAACGCTCTTGCCCCTCGCCTCCACCATCGACACGGTAACGCCGGGATCCAGAACTTTCCTCGCCAGCAAAAAAAAGGGCCAAATAACACTTTTGGCGAATACCTGTGAAACGCGTTTATCGATGTTCTGCACGCTGAGAATACAGAGGTAACCCAAACCCGTAAAATTTGTACACGTTTGAAAACGTGTTATTTGGTCCCTTTTCCCTAGTGCCCTGAACTCGTGCCCTCTCCGACATCGACCAAAGCACCCGATGCTCGATGCTGCGCCTCCCCCGTCTCCATCGCTGGGTATCGGTATCGATGTAGATATCGTTAGACGGGCAGCGCTCCGCCTGGTGGGGGAGGTTCCCTTCCAGCCGAATCCGCTTGTTGGGGACTGGAGCATTTGGAGGTTAACTTCTGGGAAGGCCATGAACACTCAACGCCGGATGTTGTCCCCTTGGGCTGTCTTGTTTGTGCTAGTGCAATGCACGACTGGGTATACGATACACATTCTTGATGACTTGTGCTCGTTGCAAGTTGCTTTTGATATACTATAACGATTCCAACGGTCGCTGCAAGGTTCGAGCCGCTGATGTCCTCTCAAGATTGCCGCGGACAACCTGTGTGTTGACTCCAACACCCTCTGTCGTTGCACCCATGCAAGCTAAAGTACTGGGACAACGTGGTGCCAGGGTCAATAATTCGACAGTAATTGATGCCATTGCAGTTAATTTTATGCCATCGTTGTCATTTTGCTTGGGCCACTTGGCGTCAAGATGGCAATGCAGTTGGCATCGCAAGAATGGTGGTCTCTGGTAGTGATGATTTTTACGACATGAGTACCGTTCGGAAACTGTGATGTTTGAGTCAATGATTTCTAGCGATCTTGGAATATTTCTGCACAACACAATGCATTTGCCCCAAGAAAGCGCAGCCACTGGTTTTCCCCCTTTTCGTGCTTTTGACCCGATAGCCTTCTTTGCTCTTTTGGTATCTGGTCCACGCGAACCTGGACGTTGTATTTTTTGCACCCATCGTTTGTTCGCATGCGCAGTTGCTTGCAGGTAGATCGGCGTCCGTGTATTCGCACATAGTCACTCGTTCTTGCCTTGTACCCATGCAGCCATGCAATTGCTATTGGTCATTGCCAAAGGCAAGTATTCAGCTCATCGCCACGTACGCCAACCCCAGCACCGCGGCTCCAGGGCTGGGTCTCAAGGGTTTGTGATTTTGTGGAAGAGATGACCACCCTTCACCCACACAGCTGCCATCCCCAGTGCTTGACCCCAGCTCAAGCATGGGTCCACGCAGAACGGAAAGCCGCATCTATGCACACTTACGAGTAACCAAAAAGCCTGCGTAAGTGCATTAAAGAGACTTGTCATCGTGTGTCCATGTCTCGGGCCCATGCATTGAAACAATGACTGGCCACTGCCCACAACAAAATCCCATGCAACAACTCCCTCGCTCGCTCCCAAGACATGAGTGCTTTAAATTGATAACATGCCAGAAATGCTAATTTCCCAACAAACCCTGTGTGTTCCTTATCCTGTAAACTCACCACCCTGAAAAAACGACAAAATAATCCCCACACTTCCGTCTGTGCGTATAGGTGGGTACACGCAGATTTTCAGTTTCTTGTCATCCAATCGAAGCAGGCCTATTTTTGCTGTCAAAGCATTTCACTGTCCGGCCCTGTTGGTAAGGGACATCATCAGTCTCCATCAATGGCCATCCAAGACAAGCTCTCGGGCATCAGGTGCGTTTCCCAATCTGCACCAGGGGCCGTCGTGGTTGCGCGCCATAACGTACCGCTCATTACCAACCTCCAAAATCAGCCGCCGCCGCCCGCCTAATTCATGATGTCCCTCTGCCATGTAATTAAAGATCAAAGCTTTGTGCTTGCTGATTCCGGTTTGGGTAGACTCTTGCTGTGACCTAAACCTATGGCGCCAGGAGAGAAATGTACCCCACACGCTCATCCTTATCTCATTTTACTTCTCGATGGATGCCCCAATGGCGCTCCTGCACAGTCGAATTACGTTCTGATCCAGTTGGATGGCATCGCCTGCTGTTCTCTGCACGACCCTGCCGACGTCTTTGCTGCCCACAGATTCGTGCCATCCGTTCTGCTCGGCTTACGGGGGTCCGGGAACTTCTCCAACACAAATTTGGCAACGACTACATCCCTCACTATGACGGCGTTCCAACGTCACCCCACATTTGAGACTGTGTACATAGGGAAGACGTTTATTGAACACAATTGGTACACAGTTCATTTTCGGCAGTCGAAATATACACATTGTATGAAAACGTGTACACACTTTTGACACGGATGGTACACACTTAGTACACAATTCATCGTGAAGGCTCAGAAGAAGACGCACTATACAAATCGTGTTACACGTTTCTGGTTATAACTACACGCTTTTTGGACACCACCAAATACCTTAATAACAGTACACGGTTTAGTACACAGTATTTTTGGGCACTACACAGTACACGTTTTTGCAGACCGTGTCATCTGGCCTGTTTTTTACTATCGACAAGAGAGCACAGAGAGGTGGTTCTTTTCTCACGCACCAGCCTTGCGACCAGCTCCCACAGACGCGGCCACCATGAATTTTGCCGTATGTACCTGTGGTTGCCCAGCGACACCAAGTCGGTGGATTTGAGCCATGTCGTCGCAGCAACGTGAGCCGAGCCCCCTCCCATTCGTTGATCTGGTTGGGCTCTTGCTTCTGCTGAGCATTCACCAATTTTGCGCGATGCAGTTGCTCCAAGGTGTGTGGTCGATCCACTTTCAGCTTGCCATCCACAGCCGTGTCCCTCACTGGGGCGGCTACATGCACCAATTCATGAATTGATCGGAAAGTGACCACCTTCTGATGTTACGGAACTTTCTGAAACCCGACCTGACTGATTTGAGGTGCATGCATTTGACGTTCTGAAATTTGTAATGATCACAAATTTGTGATTTTTGTGGTTTTAAAACCAGGGGCATGAACGAAGGTCATTGCATGCTGGTCTCTGAGCGCTGCTTGACGGATCGCATCGCAGCGTTGCGTTTTTGCCCATTTCCCGTACAGTAGATTCAGTGGACACGCTTGTTGGCCATTTCGTCAAGCGGACATGGGTCCATTCAACAACCATCTGCAATTGCCCATCCGCAACTTTGGGGACAGGTTTGCTCCCAAAGAATTGGATTGATGTCTCCCTAGAAGGCTCATCTATCTACTTGTCTTGCACCTCGTGAACCAATGACAATAGAGTATGACCTACTTGTGCATCTTCAGATTACGGAGCATTCATTACTTCTCCCAGTACGACGACAGGGTCTGAGGCCATTGGGACCTACGACATGCCCACAGCCGCATGGTTTGCCC